CGTATCAGCCTACACTGCATGGGTATGCTCCGGGGAAAATGATGGCTTTCCTGCTTTCACCATGGTGGATGTGTATTAAATGTAAATCTACGATAAAATGCCTTCAGAATTCAAGTGCTGTGTTTATCTCTGGTAATGAGGCTGTCAGGGTAACCTGTATTTATGGAACCACGAGTGGGTTATAAACTTCCATTAATGACTGTAAGGAACCTGCTTGTCATAAACAAAGAAGGAACTAGCATTTGGTTCAGACCCAGTGAAGCCAGTCTCCACAGCTTCTAAGAACTGCCTGCCACGGGCTTCCACAAGCCGCCACTTGTAACTCTGAAAGGAAACGTTTCCGAATGATTAACTTGGGTTCGCCATGTTCTGTAAACACTACAGATCCATCTCCAAGGAGCTGGCAGCCAACCTGGCAGGTGTTTGTACGTGACACTCACACATGGTGTGGGCCTCCACCGGGAAAACATCTCCTTCCCACTCCGTGTCAGGTGCACCATCTGTGTGTGTGTGTATGTGTGTTTCCTCAGGAAACTCTAGTGTTCTACGGCAAATTTTAGAATTTCTTCTTCAAAACCACTCGGCTATAGAAAACTTCAAGTAATTTAAGGGTTAAATGAATAGCCCTGTTCATTAAAAACAAAAACAAGAGCATGAAAACACTCACTGAGAAAATCATCCAAATTCTAAATGACCTACTTAGGGCGATAAGCCTTATGTCAGTAAAGGCCTATGTACCAGTACCTTCCAGATGATAATAAAAACGATTGCCAAAGCCAGGCTGATGACCTATTTATTTTAAACAAATCTGATTCAATAAAATTCCAGTGCTTAGTAATTAGGACAGCCTCTATAATCCATTCTAACATATCTAGAAAGGACAGCTGTCCATGGTGAATGGAGTTTTACACTAGTAGATCTGTGTGTGTGTGTGTGCAGCACCCAACAGGTGTATGTGGAGGCTGCGGGCTGATCTCAAGGGATCTTCAGTTATTTCACCCTGTTGTTGAAATAGGATCTCTCATAGAGAGCCGGGACTCACTGATTTGTCTAGACTGGCTGGCAAGCAAGGCCCTGTGAGCTTCCGGTCTCTTCCTCAACACTGGGAGTATAAGCGCTCTCCTCTGTGCCCAGCTTTTATGTTAGTGCTATGGATCAAACTCACACTTGCTCAGCAAGTACTTTCTGCACTGAGCCATCTCCCTAGCCCCTTCACCCTCTGGCTGGTACACCAGTAATTTAGCTGAGTTTCTACAGAGCAGGAGCCCAAACTTACTTGGCCAGAAGTCTCTCCTGAGCACCCAGGCTAGCTGGACTTGAGGCTTGTACATAAAACCTCACGTTTATAGATGATGCCTCCCAGAAGTCTGCTACCGTAGTCATTTTCTGAAATACAAAACATGGTATTGTTGCTGAGGTTGTCACTTGGTGAGAGAGTGTTTGTCAGGTATGCATAAGGCCCTGGGTCCCATCCCAACACCAAAAGAACAAAACTCCCACAAAGCATGTTCATATCTGCCCTCCCCCCGATGGACGTAGTGCGGTATACTAAAATACATTTCTAAAACTTCTGGTGTTAGCACCCAGGACTATCCATAAGTGGTCGACTCCCCCTGTTCTTGCAGATTAGTATGTGTATGGCGGGAGTTATCCATGATATATTATTGGGGGTGGATTAAGAGAGGCAGAAATGGCCAAGGAGGAGGGCAAGGGAGTCTAACCTCTAGATAGGACTCTGTTTATTGACTGAAACACAGGGAGGGGGTCATTTCAGTTCTCACCCACATGCTTGGATGAGCCTAATCTTATGTCGTGTGGGTGGATGAGGGAAAATTCCCACAGGAAGAAGATGGCTGTAAGCTTTATAGGAGTAGAATTGACTCCCATAGTTCACAAGGGGGTTCTGGGAAGTGTAGACTTTCAGTGGGAAACTATTAGTCCTCAAGGCCATCTCCAGGTCCAACAAGTCACTAGGAAGACTCAAAGGGCTTACCCTGTAGACATGTGTGCTGCTCAGCTTCACACCTTGAGAAGCACACAAATTCCAGTGAACAGAGGGGAAAAGGACACAACCTCCCAGAATCCTCTTCCTGTGAAACCACACAGCATGACTCCAGCTCCCCCAAGCAAATGGCTGTGACAACATGTGTACAGTATTGTCCACTGAGGGAAGAAGCTTTTCTCAGCACAGGAGTGCTGGATTCTACTGAGGACTGATCATGTGGTGCTCTGTAGGGCTTGTTGCCAACATTCCTAGCCCCTCTAGGCTACCAGGTGCTAGACGTGAATCATGTTTTCTGCGTAGTGCAAGCTCGGCTAGGAAATGGTGGGAGCTTACCCAGAATCCTAGCCTCAGTGCCACTGCCAGTCATTCTGTTGGCCTTTCAGGAACACAGCCACCTCACCCCCTCTCCTGCACAGTGTGTGTAAAACTGTTCACAACAGAAGTAGTAACAGTTAAGGACAGGCATGACTCTATTTTCTTGTATGCCCCATTCCTTGGAGTGTTCCGTTGCCTCTAACTGTGAAGATTTCAGAGGTACAGACAGGAACTGGGGGCTCCTTTTCTGATCACATGGGTATAACACAGAACATGTGACACAGACTGCTGTTAGTCTCTCCATCTCCTCCCCAGGAGAATCAAAGCCTCCAAGCATCCCTAGGTACTTTTGACTCTAAGCCTTTTATATTCTCCCCAAGGAATAAGAACGGGAAGACACAGTGGTACACATGATTTCTTCAAATCTACAAGGCAATTTGTAAGTCAAACTGTGAAAATTACTATGTCGTCCTTTTGCCACAGACTTCCCATTGCATGGAGGCTTTTTCTTTTGAAATTTCTTAGAAAGAAACGAGGGCATGCATGCAAAGAGGGCCTCTGTTTTGCTCCCTCATCCAGCTTCTGTGTAAGGGCAGGGGTATTTATACTTTGCAGCAAAGACCATGAGACCACATGGCACTCTTCCATGATGGAGGAAGGGAAAAGAGGGAGAGGTGACAAATGTCTCAGATGGGAGGTGAACTGCCTTGGTGAATGTTTCCTTGGCTAAATCATGAGATAATGGGTAGCATTATCTCAAACGAACCAGCATTGAGTGGCAGAGAAAGAGAATGCAATCAGTTTTATCAGATCAATAGCAGGAGTTCAGAGTGATAGAAGGAGAATCCAGAGTGTTCTCCTGTCTGAAAGGAAAAGTATTGTCCCAGGACATCCCAAGACCACGTTTTTGGCACAAGGAAGATTTATTTGCCACCAAGGGACAAAGGGCAGGGAATAAGAGACAAAGACAGGAGATAGAGGATGACGGAGAAGGGGAAGGGAGGAAGAGAGCAGGAGAAGGGGTATTTGTCCTAGAAGATAAGGACTGCCTCTGAATAGAGAAGAGATAGGCATGGCTATAGGAAAATGGAAGTTTATAAAAGGAAAGGGGAATACTCCCTGTTAGGGGCAGGTGTTTAATTTTAATTGAACATGTTAATTAGGTGAGCCAAAGAAGGCTTTCGATTGATGGAGTTCAAGATTTTGATAGCTGAACCTTGGTTAGTCAGACTCAGGAGGAGGAAATCTATTCCAAATAAAGGAATAGATTTTGGTGGCTAGCTTTAGGAACATAATCTAACAGTTTTTAGCAAGGCAGAGAGAATGGAGGAGAAGGGCAAGGGCTGCCAGAGCCATGCTTACCATGCCCCAGCTGGCCAGAGTCCCTTCACTACTGGCAGCTCAAGGCCTGTTCCTCTACTTTGGAGCCACTAGAGAAACAAGATTTCCCATGGCAACTGACATTTTGAGGATAAAATGATATAGAATTATAATGAATGGATTACTTGGTAGCAAGTAATCCATAGTACAGAGGGTTATGATGATGATTAAGAAGAAGATGGAGATGGTGATAATGATGAAAGAGATGGAGGTTGTGGTGATGGTGATAAAGATGGATGTGATGATGATGATGGGGATGAAGGTGGGAGTTATATTGATGTGGTGGCAATGCTGTTGAAGAGGAATTTGTGGTGGTGGTGCTGGTGAAGAAGAAGATGGGGATTGTGGCGATGATGATGGGGTTGTAGTGATGGACAAGATGGTCAAAATAGACCTTGTGGTAATGGTGATGAAGAACAGAGGTTGTGGTGGTGATGATGATGATCAGGATTGGAGTGATGATAATGGTGAAGAATATGGTGGAGATGATTATGAAGGGAAGTTTGTTATGATGATCATGATGATAGAGTTGTGGTGATGAGGAGGAAGGAAGATGATGACAGAAGTTGGAGTGGTGATGATGATGGTGGGGCTTATAATGATGAAGATGACGACAACAGTGATGATGACCATGATGATCATGATGATGATGGAAGCTGTGGTTCTGGGGATGCAGATGATAAGAATGTCAGGAAGGAACAAGAGACATGGAAGTTGGCTAGTCCTGTTCAGCCCAATGTCTCTATGTGCAGGGACCCATGAATATCTGCTCACCTGTCTGAGCCTCAGTCTTCCTGTGTGGAATTCAAACACAGAACCCAGACGCTGCTGGGAAAATGAGATGTAGTGCTGGGTGTTCATACAGTCTGCTGCTGAGGAACCTGTTCCTGCGGGCGCTCCCTTATTATGAATGCTATCTCTGCATGTTTGCCTCACATCCATTGCCCATTTAGTTTGCTCACTATGAGGAATTTCAGGTAGGGTTTTTTGTTGTTGTTGTTTTGTGTGCGGTATTTTAATTAATAGAGACATCCTATTTCTGTATGTGACAGATGTTTGCTGAAGGCCAGTACATTTTACTAGCTCCTTCTGTAGAAGTGGAGATAACTGAAGGGGAGGGGAGCTAGGACAGATGGATAGGGAGGTGGTTACCAATTTGTGTTTAAATCCAATTCCCCATGAGTTCATACCTGCAAAGCCACAATGTGCAAATGCTCACCATGTTTCCGGCACCACTGCTGACCTGGACCTGGGGACTTCCCCAGGGCTGTCTCAGACATACACTTCCTGTCTCCAACAGGGCCAAGGTTAAGAAAGGAGTGAGCATCGTTGGGGTGAGAGCCAGCAGCCCTTCCATCTGGGATGTCAAGCAGAGCTCAGAGTACACTGGAAAGTATGCACCAGCTGTCATCATTTGTCAGAAGAAATCGGCTGGCTCAGACAAGAGGTAGGTCCCACCTGGCCTGTGTTGCACTCAGATTCTCTGCAAGGTGGCTTCCTATTGCTCCCAGCTTTGCTAACTGACTCCAGCTTGTATTTAGTGTGTGCTGTCTGTCATTAGTGGCTCAAGGTAAAACGGGTGGCGTCTTCCACCAGTCAGGTACTGTTCACAGTGGACCCACATAGGACCACGGGGACTCTATGACCTGCAAGGACCTCTCCATGCAGTGGCATCCAACAGTAACTGAAGTTGTCACTTCTTTATAATTCACATCAGAAGTGTCAGAATTGTGGGGTATCTCTTACAACGTATTTCTGCATGTGTTAAACACAGGAGCACTCATTCTTTTACAGGCAGGGTGTACAGCCCACTTACAGTACTAATGTCAACGTAAGGAATGTGATTGTATTTGTGCACAGAGTTGGGGGGGTCGCTTTCTGATGGAACAGTGAGCCACCTGCTGCGGAATTACAGGCAATCGTGAATCACCCTAGGGAGAAATTAAAACCCCGGATCTGCCTCTGATAGCCACCAAATTAGAAACAGGCAATTCACAGCTGGGCAAAGAACGGCTTGGAGACTTAGGAATTCTTGATTTATTCCTCTCTCCCGGAACCTCATTTGTGGCTTCAGAGAATTCCTAGTCTAGTCACATACATTTTCCTTGTCACTTTTAGGTTTCTTCTGGTTCTTCGTATTACTGAAAAATTGAGCAAAACTCAAAGGATGAATTGAGGAAGGTAGCCCATTGTTCCTGGAATGCAGTTTTAAATTTCAAAACTCAAGTATTTGGAAAATACATTTATTTCCCATGATATGAAAGTGATGAATCTTGCTTTGTGGCTATTACTGTCTTGTTTTAGCCCTTACCCCCTTGGTTCATTAACAAAAGCACTTGAAACCAATTTAGGGGTAGCTTGGCTTCAATTTCCTCTCTGTGCTCCTTTACCTGATGTTAACTGGGGGAGAATCTGGGTCACCCAAAGCAGCTCTTGTATGTGCCCTTCTTTTTTTCTGAATGGAAAAAAAAAATGAGAAGAAAAGAGGAAGTCAGTGTTTGAGTTCTGCCCTGGATGATTGAAAGGTAGGAGTGGGTCACACAAAGGAACTTCTTGGTCTTATATATAGCCTCAGCGCAGTGTACCCACAAAAGAGATCCTATTTGCAAAAAGAGCACCAATGTCATGACACAAAGGTGACTTTGTGTCAGGTAGTCAACAAATATGAAGATGGATAAACAGATGCTTGTAAACATGGATAGTGACGAACAGAGTGATTTGGATATGGAAGTTTGTTTTGATAGATGGGTGAACGGATACATGGTATTGTGATTTGAATGTGCAGTGCTCCACCATAGGCTTTCTTAGTTGCATACAAAGTCTTCGACTGGTAGCCTGATTTGGGAGGTTGTGAGAGGAAGTAGATCACTAGGGGTGGGCCTTGAGGCTCTGTTTCCTGTCCTATGCTTCCTAACTGCAGATACAATGTGACCACTTACCTCACACTCCTTTTTTGTTTATTTGAGGTTTTTTTGAGACAGGGTTTCTGTGTGCAACCCTGGCTCACCTGGAACTTATTCTATAGACCAGGCTGGCCTCCAACTCAGAGATCTGCCTGCCTCTGCTCCCGAGTGCTGGGGTTAAAGGTATGTTGCTGCCATTCCCAGCCCCACCTCACACTCTTTCCTTCTCTGCTGAGATGGACTGGATCTCTACTTAAGTTATGAGTCAAAAGAAATCCTTCTTCCCTTAAGGTGCATCTTATGGGGCATTTGGCCACAGCCACAAGAAAAGTAAATGATACATATGTAGGTAGATAGATGATAGATAAAGGATGAAGGATGGACGGATGGATGGATGGATGGATGGTGGATGAATGATGAATGATAGTAGATGAATAAGATATCTCTGAATGTTATGATGATGCATGCATGGCTGGATGACAGAACGAAAGGATGAATGGATGGCTGACTGGTAGATAGACAAATGGCTAAATGAGCGGAACCATGAATGGATGATGGATAAATGGATGGCTAAATGATGTGGTTGGTGAATGTTTTTATTCTCTACCACAAGAGGAGAGACAAGTGGGGGAAAAGATCCCAGATAATGTACTTCAATTTTTCTTGTGCCATTGTTCACTGTCTCTCATGACTCATTGAAAGTAACAGTAATGCTGCTCATGGATGCAAAGGGATTTGAGCCACCATAAGTTATTTCTTATTGTCTTTATGCTTTGAATATTCTCAGTAACAATTTGCTGAGTTTATCTTGGACACAGAAGGAAAGAGTAGCACACTTTGAGGGTAGCCCCTCACCTCAACGTACAAGCAGCTCTGCTCTGGCTCTGACAACTCAGGCCTTCTGGTACACCACAAGTCCAGGCCACCTGTAAGCACTCTAATGTGTGGAACAGTCAGTTCTTATCCTGCGCCTCTGTCCGTTAAGAAACAAGACTCTGGATAGACTACCCAGGTGTTTTTCTCTGAAGGATATGGCATCATGATGCGACCCATTTGGAGACCTTTTCTTGTCCCATGCTTGATTCATATTTATGCAGACAGATAATGAAAATGTACGAGTGCATGAGCCTCTGTATGCAGTGCCTTATGTAAGTGTGAGGACTCAGTATATCAAACATCCGTTTATAATGTGCTAGGGACACATGTGTGCAATTTGATAATGTGCACTGTCCATAGGACACCAACAGTTCAGGTTGCTCATGTGACAGGTCGGCCGACTGAACTTCATGAAGAAGCCTAGACCAGAAGTTCCTTTGGTGTCAGAATCACGTCTTCCTTGGAGCGGTGTCCCCAGCCTCCAAGCAAGTGCCCGGTACACAGGAGGATGCCTATAATTGCTCAGTTAATGAAGTCTGGAATGAAACTGTCTCTACTAACATTAGGATTCAATTCTAAACACACACTTGTGAAGTAGTCTGTTATGAGTGAAAAGAAGTCTACTCAAGAAAAACATAGAAGGATATTTGTCTTAGTGGATGCTGTCCCAGAAAAACTCCAGAGAAGATTGACACCTGGGTTTTCTGCAGGCAGAGCTGGGGAGCCAGGAAAGGCTGGATGTAAATTAATTTTTGCAGTGAAACATCTGCATGGAATTTGTTTTATTCACCCTGTGTCTGTTTTCTACTTAGCAAAATGTACATAATGAAAATAGTTTTATTAGGTACCACATATTAGCATCTTGAATAGTTATCCCTGACCCCCTTCAAAACCTTTCATTTCATACTTCTATCTTCACAGAGTAGAATAAAGAGAAAACCTTGGTCCATTATTTCAGGTGGTCCTTTTTTCCCCCCCCTCGAGGATAATCAGAAAAATCAGAAATCAGAAAATCATTTAGTTGATGCTTTAATAATGTTGGTAGGTTTGGCTTGAGGGGCTGTTTTGCTTTATACAGCCTTCTTTCTCTCCCGCCATTTCTCGGTTATCTTAAAACTCTGAGCTCAGCTGTGGGAGCTCACGAGAGGCAGTCTTCATTAGCTGGAGAGTCATAGATTGTGTGTTGCTGATAATCTTGCTCGGATCAGGAAGCCGCCTTAATGAAGTGAAGTCGCTGTGACAGGTGCAATTTCATGGGTAAGGAGCCACTTTCGTATCAGCGATGAACTCAGCGGGAGTTAGTGAAGATCTCTTATCTGCTTCAAGTTCATATTCCTTGTTTGAAGAAGTTTGTTTGCCGAGAGTCTCATCTCACTGCTATTATCTCGGCGATCAGATCTGCTTTGATTTGCCTTCGTGGATCCGCAAACCACGGCAGAATAGCTAATTGCTCTTTGCCCCCAGATCCCAGTCTACATTTTCAGAATCTCGCTGGCCAGGCACCAACTTAGATAAATATGTATAAAGCCTGAAGGATGGGGGTTTTCCAGAGGTCCCCATGGCAGATCTGCAAATGATGTTCTTGGCATACAGACTTAAGTTTGAATAAACTTCAGCGATACCAGCCTGCATACTTCTGAGTTCTCCCCAGCACAGCTCCACCCCAGAAAGGTGTCTCATGCTCAGCCAGCTTTCTTGTCCTGGGAGACTGTGTGTTTTTGAAGCCTTGATTTCTTGACATCTTATAGGCAGGAAGGCAGGCAGGCATGCATCACAAGGATTCAATCTTGCTCTGAATGATCTTCTACTTATTCCAGGCAGAACTGATTTTCCACTTACTATAGGTAATGTGTTTCATTTTAAAACAAATATATTTTAAGTAATAGAATGAGCTGCAAAAAAGAGGTAATTGATACTTAATTTGTATTTTAGATACAGATAGCTGTGGTTGAATTCATGAAGCTACACTAAAGTGAGGCCTGACAGATACATATCAAATTGTTTGTTAAGATTAATGTTCTAGTTTTCTGTGATAAACACCATGACCAAAAGCAAATTGGGGAGGAAAAGATTTATCTGGCTAACACTTCCCAGGTCACAGACCAGAACTGAGGGAAGCTGGGACAGGAACTCAAGCAGGAACATGATGCAGAAGCTATGGAGGAGGACACTTGCTGGTTCATTCTCCAACTCTGTGAAGCTAGCTTTCTTATACAGCCCAGAATGCAGCTGCCTAGGGAATGACAATGTTCTCAGTGGCCTGGACCCTCCTACATCAATCATCAATTGATATAATCCCTCCCACTTATGCCCACCATACAATCTGATTAATGCAATTTTTCACTTGAGGTTCCCTCTTTCTGGATGACTCTAGGCTTGCATCAAGTTGGCAATAAAACTAAGCAAGACAATTAAATAAGATTGTTTAGTTTTCTTAAACCTAATAAGAAAGGCTTGAATAAGCTAGACATTCATTTCTTAGTCACATAACAGGAGCAAAGAAGGCCACCCAGAACAGACGTGCACCTCCTGGTACTGTTAGGTTCCCAGGCACCTACTATGCTCACACACTATATTCCCTCACAGCTTATATCAGCGGTCCCCAACCTTCCTAATGCCGTGACCCTTTAATACAGTTCCTCATGTTGTAGTGCCCCCCAAACATAAT